TCCTGGCTTCCCTGATGCCTCACTATGTCATGATATTTCAGCCTCTCAGCTTCCACTTCTAATTGGCCTTTCTCTGACTATAACCTAGTTCAAATTACCGAAAAAGAGAATCTGATCGATTCTGCTTTTTTCCTGCTGGTTTCTTGATGTCCCGAAGGGAGATTTAACCGTCTTGTTGGTTCCACAGTTTCATCAGTTTCTCAACATGCCTCCTGTCCTCATGGAATTGGTAAAGAGAATGTTTTGCAAACTTTTTCAAAGCCTCATCATCCCAGCCAAAGTGCTAAGACACAGACAGGTAGAGGTAGGAAGTATAGAGCTCTAGGCTAATTTAAAGGTTGGTGGAGGGCTCTGAGTATGTTTGCTTTTGTGCCCGTACACTGAGTACTTAAGTCAGCTATTTTTTTTCACTTCTAGGCTTTTTACTTGATTCTTTTTTTTCAATAGCAGCTTTATTGAGATACCATAAAATTTACTTGTTTAAAGTATACAATTCAGTGTTTTTTTTGTATATCCAGAATTGCGCAAACATCACCACTAATTTTAGAACACTTGGTTCTTTTGAAAATTTTTGTTTTCAGCCATCTGCTGAAAACTTCAAATTATATTCTTTATTTCCTCAAACACAGTAAGCATAGTGATTTTAAAGTTGGAGTTAGATTACTTCAGTATCTGAAGCCCCTGCAGGTCTGTTTCTAACGTCTGTTGTTTCTGCTGATTTTAGTTCATGTTATTTACTTGTGTGCCTAGTTATTTTTTAATTGTATGCTAGATATTTTATCTGTAAAATTGTTTGCAGAAAAAATTGAAGTCTAAGATGGTGTTGTCCTCCAGAGAGGATTTACCTTTGCTTTGCCAGGTGCCTGTGAGTACTAGCAATCCTGGATCACCCCAGCCTAATTTAGAAATTCTGATTATCTGAAGCAGAAGTACAATACCTATCGAGGCACGTCAACATCAGACCTACTTTTATCTATGGGGTTTAGCCCTTTGGGGGTCCCAACCCAAAGGGAGTGATTTTACCTGGGTCTCTTCAGTCTGCCCATGGCTGGCCTGGGTGCCAATCCCTGTGCTCTTAGCCGTGGGAGGCTGTCAAAAGCTCAGCTTCACACTTCTGTTACTCGCTCTGGGATAAACAAATGCTACTGGAGTAAAACACTAGTGTTGCCTCCCTGGGCCTCCATCCTCGTTTGAATCCTAGCCTGGTAATTCTTCACTATCTTATAGTTCTCACATGCTTCCAGCAGCTGTATTTAATGTTTTTGTCCAGCTTTTCCTCTGTGTTAGGACCAGTCTCAATTACCTAATCTGCCATCACTGGAAGTTCATTCAGTTTTGTTTTTAACTAAAAATATACTTGTTAATCACACCTAGAGAACACCTGTGGTATCACAGTGGGTTAATATATATCCATCCAGTCTACAGCCCACATACCCCATGCTCCCTTTGAAGATCCTTTATGGCACGAGAGGCCCAGACTGGCCATCTCAGGTGAGGCTACATGCTGGGTCAGCTAAATGGTCTTCCTCCCTGCCCTCATGGAGCTTGCCATCCTCCTTTTCTTTCCTAAAGCCTCAAACCTTTGTAGGCCAACGTTCCCACTGAACACTCACTCGCCCAGTCCCTCTCAGCTTGTCTCTTGAATTACTAAGATCATCATTGCAACTGTTCTTCCCCTGACTAAACTCTTTCCCAGTCTTCTCACTGCCCTCATGGGAAAGGTCAGTCTTGGCCTGGCATGCATGGACCTGCCCTGTCTGACCCTCTCCATCTCTCCAGCTTTATGACCATAAGCCACTTGCTCTCAGCGATATCCCAGTCTCTGAATGCATGTGTTTGTCCACATACTAGTTTTTCCTTTAAGTCTCAACATCACCTCTTCTGGGAAGTCTTCCCTGATTCTCCCAGACTATGTCCTCCTGAATTGGCACTCTGTTTCCAGGTCTGTTTCCCACTGGAGCAAGCATTTTGAAGGCAGTGTCAATGACTTATTCATTTCAGCATCCCTAGTGTTCGGTGCTTCATAGGTGTCAATTTATATGGAATGATCTCATTTCCCAAGTTCCATGCATCCCCCTAATGCATTGTCATTTTCACCACAGTCTCATGGATTCTTTTCCCCAGGAAACCCAGTCATTTTTCCAGCCCTTAATAAGAGGAAGCATGCCAACTGCTTAGTCATCTACAGCCCTCAGACAGTAATCAATGCTGTGTCCTCACTGGTACCAAGCTCATTGACCTGTGTGACACTGTGACAGCAGACTGCCACCTGCTGGTAGGAAGTTTTCTAAGAGCTAGTTTTGGGCTGGAGATAAGAGTAAACCAGTTGTCATGGAGTCTACCCTTACTCATGGTGACCCTATATGTGTCGGAGTAAAACTGTGCCCCATAGCATTTTCAATGGCTGCTTTTTTGGAAGAAGGTCACCAAGTCTTTCTTCTGAGGTGCCTCTGAGTGGACTTGAACCTTCAACCTTTAGGTTAACAGCTGAGTGCATTAACTATTTGCACCACCAGGGATTTAGGAGATAGAGTAGGTTGTTTTTTTGTTTTTTTTGTGCCATGGACTTCTTTGGAGTTCCACAAAGAATATGAACCTCTACTCAGAATATTTTCAAGTACATTAAATAAAGCACATAGGATTACAAAGGAAACCAATCATAATGAAATACAGGTATGAAAATAATGTTAAAACTATATTATTATATGTGACATATATATGTGATATAATACTAAAACAATATATATTATTATATGTGATTTATCATATATTATATGTATATATGCATACACATATGTATCACATTTTATACACACAAACACACACACACAGAGCCCTGGTGGCACAGTGGTTAAGCACCTAGCTGCTAAGTCAGTGATTCGAACCAGTGTCTTAGCCATCATCCCACCAGGGCTCCCCCATAAAGATTATAGCCTAGGAAACCTGAGGGGGCAGTTCTAGTCTGTCCTATACAGTTGCTATGCATTGGAATTGACTCGACAGCATGTAACGACTACATATATATATATATGTTGTTGTTGGCTGCTGTCAAGTTGGCTCTGACTCATGGCAACCCCAGGTATAAGTAAATGAAATGTTGTCTGGTCTAGCACTATATTGGAAAATATTCTGTTGTGATCCATAGAGTTTTCATTGGCTACTTTTTGGAAAGAAATTGCCAGGCCTTTCTTCCTGGTCTGTCTTAGTCTGGCAGCTCTGCTGAAGCCTGTCCACCATGGATGACCCTGCTGGTATTTGAAATTCTGGTGGCATAACTTCCAGCATCATAGCAACATGTAAGCCATCACAGTACAACTGACAGATGGGTGATGAATGTATATGACATTAAATAACAAGATGTGGCAATTGGTCTAATAACTTCCATAATTTCAAAGTGCTAAAGAACAAAACCGATGTTTTGCAGTCTGCAACAACTTTAATGTGATTTGAAATATCTGTGATTTCTAGCCACAGGTACAGCTAATGTCACCAGAATTTGTTGCCTACATTCATAGTGAAAGGAAATGTTTATTTCTGTTAGAGGTTACTAAAATGAAAGACCAAATCTTTTCCTATCCAAGTACAAATACACCCTGGCCCCTACCCATGGATCCAGGAAGGCTCATGGACTCCAGGTTAAGGACCCCTGAGTGGCGTTTCAGAGGCGTGGCTGACAGTCTTTTCAACAGGGCAGAGACGGCTAGTGGTGAAGTGTTTGTGTGACTCTTGATTAGTGTAATGGGCAGTGGGGTGAAGGACAGGAGGTGTGGTGGGGACAGCACTTCTAGAAGGTCTGAGTGTGAATCCCATAGGCATCGCTTTCCAGTGTTGTGAGATTTGGCCTGACACTTCACCTTGCCTGGTGTCCATTTCCTCATCTGTAAGATGGGAATGCCATTGTCTTCCTCATGGGGTTGTTGACAGATTCGCTAAGTGTCATGGATTGAATTGTGT